CAATGTTCTTATTGAAACACTAATTCATGCAAAACAGATACACTATCCAATATTGACTTTTCATCAACGTCAACCATAGAGTGCAAGTGGCTGTCGATTATGCGAGTCTGTATAGAACTATAATTTCTTATGAATTATTTCTCTAAACTTTCATAGTTCTTCGTCTTGACTATTGCAGTTTCATTTCCATTGAACCAAATGTAAAGCGTTCTCAAATCATTCAGAAGTGTGAATAAACGATAATTCCGCATTCAAAGTGCGAATAAAAGATATTTACCTTTTATCTTGATGAATATTTCTGTCTTATATTATTGTGACCTACTCATAATCTATTCTAACAGTATAGTTATCACTCTGAAGAATTTTACTCACGTACAAAACTAACACAAAAATTATTATGCATTTAACCTTATAGTCACTACAATGAACAATAATTTACCGTGAATCAATACAGTATGTGGTTTAATCATGAATTTTTGTACTCAAGTGTAATAAAATGAAGTCTGTTATAGATTCTAATACTGTACATTAAAACATAGAGAGATAGCACAGTAAATAGAGTTCTCAACTATTAATCACTAGGTTGCAACTCTAATCTACCTATTTCAATTTTGGAAACTTGATAATCTCCATAGAGTTTGCACTTAAAGTATAGTCACAAAGCCCGAGACACGATTTTGTATTGATTATATGAGCAACATCCAAATATGTAACAGAAAGAAAACTATACTAATAGTAGTAGAAATTAACTAGTTAATGACTAAAGAAACACATAACAGAAATTTCAATAGTTGAAATTATGAGTCAATTGAAGCTAGACCACTATGGAAAACCTGGAAGCACTAAAAATCTCCACAAAACCCCTTCTAATAATAATCATCTGCTCACTAGTAACTGACGTTAAGAAGCATTTCCTGGAGTTATAGTGAGAAGCCGTGACTAGTGGAGTTCAACCAGGTCTGTTGTGAGATATCAGCTCACTGAAGACAATGGTGTACGGTGGCTCAATTTCGTGGATTGGTTGAAGTTAGACATTAACACTGTTGGATGCCGGTTCAGTGGCCTAATTGTTAGGCGCGCGCGCGAGTGATAGGTCCTGGGTCCGAATCCGGCGGGGAGGGATCGTGGATGCGCGCGAGGAGTCCCATACTGGGATGAAACAATGGTCCAGTGCTTCCAGGTTTTCCATGGTTATCTAGCTTCAATTGGATCATGACTTCAACTATTGAAATTGCTAAAAATCTCCACAAAACCCCTTCTGAACATAACAGAAATGTCAAAAAATTGCATCCGTGTTACAGACTGACCAAAATCTAAGTCATCGCTACTAATGTTTTTTAGAAAACAGTATCAAATCTCCAAGTTAGTATGTTGACTATTTTTTATAGTCAATTAAGAAAATCTACAGTTCACGTGATAGTTAAGAAAGAGTTACTGATTTTTTCTACAAGTTGATTTCTAACCTTCATAGTATAGGTGTTACAGTCTTCACTGTCTAGTATATCTTAAACACAACAAATCTACCAAAATCAGAATCAATATTGGTTAGGAACATATATCTCAATAAAGTCGAGTAACGGAATATAGCGTTGCTATGACGCACGATGTCCACCTGAGCTAGAAATCTTCCTCATCTCAACAACGGATACTAACACGGAATTCCTATACGAAAATTGTCAACTGGTTACTCAATGGGGAGACTCAGAGTGAGAACTTATTGGGCTAATCCCGTTCACATGCATGAACACTCATTTATATATTATTGATCACATGCATCTGTCATTAGCAGAGTTATGATTAGTGCAGAGTCGTCTTCTCATTTAGTCACTTTTGATTGGCCCACTGTGTTAACAGTATTATCGAGTTTATGAAAGAAGCTTATAGTATATTACCGATATATATATTAGCACAGATTGGGTGGAAATGGATAAATTAGTGTAATCCGCTTTGACCTTGACCCAATAGTCAGAATTCTATTTCACTTTCTTTTTCAGTAAACTTATTAATAAAGTGTTTGTAGGACATGGTGAGGTTATTTAGTTATATTCCTACAAACTTAAGATCAGAAAACTGATAATATGCTCTAAACAATCAATAAAGTTAAATATTATTCAACTAGTTTCATCACTCCTGTAGCTAATTACTTTTGATTCCGAAGAACTCTCTATTGATTGGTTGCAAACTGGCTTCAAATTTATGCAGTTATTTTGAAAACCATTCAAACTAGTCTGTATGTACTATACTCTTTCACATTTCCTATCTAGAAATCTATGGATAAGTTTAAAATAACTTTGACTTTGTGGTAGATATAGGGCGAGCTGATCAGGATCGACAACGTGACTTTTCCGTTGAATTCAAATGTCACGTATGGAGGACAGTAAAAATACCTTTTAATGACAAAAAAATTCCTAGCCACCATAGGATAAAAAATGATAGTGTTGAATACATCAAATGCCCAACTATATCTCTCTAAATTGTCTATAACGGCCAAATCAACACTATCTCTACATCCGGTTGCGCACCAGTGCTTGAAGTCACTAACTTCTGGTCTGAGGCATGTTGGTATATGCAAACTACTTGGTTGGTGTCAGCGTCACTATCGTAACCAATGGTTGGAGACTCTTGGTGACATGGCTCAGAATCGATCACAATGGCGTCGGTGTATATACTCTCTGTCTTCCCTTAACCTATGAGATTCAAATCCCTTCATATCTTTCTTCCTGTACTATATCCTTATTGCAATCTTTCTTCTATATATTACCACCTCTGCATTAACTACTTTCATGAATCCGGTGTCCATCTTGTTGTGTTAATGAGGTATGGCAACTTGGACCGATGCATATATGTGCCTGGTGCTATGTTGTAGCTGACTGACTTAATCATGAAACAAACCTTAACTTAGTAGCATTACATTTTATGAACGAACTAATCAAACAGGATCTCACAGATTTTTGAACGAAATCCATTTAGCCGAATCCTCACAGAACATTTCTTTTATTGTAGCTAATAATGTTAATTGGTAATGAAGATCTTAACACCTAAACAGTTAATTGTAATCTTCAGTCAGTCAGCTACAACATAAGACCAGGCACATATATGCATCGGTCCAAGTTGCCATATCTCATTAACACAACAAGATGGACACCGGATTCATAGAACTAGTTAATTCAGTGGTGGTAATATATAAAAGAAAGATTGCAATAATTGTAATCTTAACTAGGAACAAATATGAGAACACTTAAGATATTCAACATAAAGGATAATGTATATTCCATTTATTTGCAAAGAGATTCATGATGTGAAATCTGTTTAGATTTTTATAATATTATTGTTTTTCTTTCCAATAAAACAAAGAGTGATTGTTTTTGTTTTTTTTGTTTTTGATTGACTAAAGAAACTATGTACTACTCTTACCACCGACTTATGCATTACATCATAGAGGAATACTGGGCATTCATCAATACAACACATAATATATGTGTAATGAGAACCAAAAACAAACAAACTACATATATAGAAAATTGTATAAAAACAAATTGATGCATTTCATATAAATAGTAGTATAGAAAACAAAAGGCACTAAAGTAATATATTGGCAGAGATTACAATAATATTAGTAAAGAGAGAGAGAGAGAGAGAATAGAAACTAATATTAATCATTGACAAACTATATAGTCTAGCCTTGTTATAGATAAAACAAATCAGTATATATCTAGATAGATAGATGGATAGAAAGACAAAATAGTTTTCATATAGAGAAAACAAAAGTAACAAGAAAATCACATACAGAGTAAAAGTCATGGTTATTTTGTTGAGAACAAAAAAACAACAACAAAGAATGAAGATTATACAGAAATAATACAATTGGCAAGATTCATTTACTGCAATGTCGTTATTATCACCGGATGATCACCAATGATAAGTGTGTATAGATGGTTGTTTTTCAGGCACTATTTTATTTGTTGTATATGTGAAGATTCATCTATTGATACAGTTAATTGCCTTGACAAATAATGCTAAAATAGGTGTGTATGTATGTATGGAATGAAACTTCTAACTTTTTATACTCAATTGAGTAATGGAAAATTAATCCCTGTTTAGTTATTATTCAACGTAATGTTTAACAAAATGGGATTACTAAGAAAAACAAAATAGTTGTAACCATTTCTCAATATATAGGCAGGAATGATGAGCAATCAGAGGAATGTGTTTCTTCTCGATAGAAAGAAAACGATGCTGGTATACAGTGTGAAACGAGCAAGTGAATTGAAGTTATCAAATAATAATCCGAGAAGAAAAAAAAGAATATAACAGGTATGTTGTGCTTTACGTTTCACTTTTTTTTTGTCTTCCAGTTTTTTTTTTATCAACTTTCACACACCGCTTACTCAAGATATTCGTTCTATATCAATGATAGAATGAACTATGACAATGATCAATGAAGAGAATCAAACAACAACAATAAAAAAATATCACCAACTGGAAGGAATGTGCCAAAAAGATTTTTTTTTCTTAAAAAAAAGAGTACTGAACAAGCAAGCAAGTGTGCACAAGGGAGAGAGAGAACACCCCCCTCCCGGATGGAATACCAATTAAAATCAGTAAGACATTCAAAGTAATCAAAGAGAAAAAAATAGGAAGCGGGGGTGGGGAAGATAGCAACAAAAATATAGACACATATATTATATTATTAGAAAATAACATAGAAAAAGTACATAATATTCGTATATATATAAAATAAAGTATTCATGATTATTATTATTTCGAAATATCGTTGTAATTATTCTTCGGTATTCAATTAATTAATTAATTAATGAACATCTATCTATCATTGATATTATAAACAATTAAGAAAATTTCTATATTTTTTAAAAAAAAATATAATAAAATATCAAAGTGAATAGAGTAAAGAATAATAAAAGAAATTAACGTTGTGATAGAATGGTTCTTTTTACTTTTTCTTCTCCTATAATCAATAAATCGATTGATTGATTGATTGATTGATTGATTGATTGATTGATTGAAAATATTAACCTGTACGCATTGTTCGACCCCTGAGAGAGAGAGAAAGAAAGAAGGAAATTGAATGTGAGTTCATCATTAGAAATTATACATATATGTATACATCATATGGTATTGTTTGTTTGAATGTTCCGATTGATGTTAAGGACTGCAATTGATCAGTCTCTTATTGGCATCTATGCATATTGCCTCATTAATAAGGCTATATCAAGGCAATACGCACAGTATGCACATATACCAATAAGACACTGACCAATGGGTAGATTCAAACGCACAATACAAAAATGAACTATATTATTCTTATTATGTAATAAGATAGTATCGAGAAATAAACATTCATAGTATATATATATATATATATATATATATATATATATATATATATATATATATATATATATATATATATATATATATCAATGAAGGTTTGAGTTTTCCCTTTATTAGTCAGTCTTTATTGATAATATACGCACATTCTGAGCGGACTGCCTAGATATTGACATTTATGCATAAGTTGAATATTGGTTGATAGTGAAATTCAACGCTCATGGTTCATCTTATATAGAACACGTCAGATGAGTGTATTTGCATTTTAGTGCTGATATCTACACTGCACCTAGTTGTTTTTGTTTCAAAAAAGGGTAAAAACGAACTCTTATAAATGAAATTTATACCTGTTATATAAAACAATGACTACTAACTGGACTTAATAGCTCAATGGATAGTGCATTGACATTAGAAGGAAGACGAAATGTACACAAAAGCTTGGATATGGCATGTATATCCAGCTGACAAGTCTCAGCTAGATCTAAACGCGAGGTCTGAACTCCAATGTTAACCACTATCCAAATTTAAGAAAAATATACATATACAAGGAAAAATATGATAACTATTCTACCCTTCATTCACCATCACAACTAACTAACCCTAGAAATTGGATGTTCAGAATGCTTAGATTAGGCATAGAAATATATTTTGTTGAACTAATTTAACCATATCACATCAGAACAATGAAATCAAGAATTCTCTTAACAATTATTATGTATACTACTTCAGTGTTAATCAATAAACACTAATAATAGTAATAATGGTAATAATAACAATAATGATAATAATAATAATTCGTTGCTTAGTTGATAAATACACGCATAAATGGTGAATTCCTTCAGTATTAAACAGTCAAATAAAGTACATTTCAAAGTTTTCTAGCATTTAACTACTAACCAGCTATTCCCATATTTTATGCTTAAATTTAAATCAAAATGAAACTTAGCACAAAAAATGAAGTTACTCAGGTGATTGGAAGCAGCCTGTAACAAAAAACCTGGTTTTGTACTAGTTCAAACTCATCACACTAAAACATGTCTGCACGTTTGACAGTTTTTATGCTTCCTATAGGGTCCGAACTTTTACCACCCAGATTCATAATCTAGAGAGTTATAACTAAGCTATTCCGGTTGTGACTGACCTCCTTTAGGACTAAGGTATTTACAATCTATTGATCACTCTGAGTATTGACAAACCTAACACTTGTTTACTATTTTAGTGCTGCTCAAATCCTATAGATCAAGTACTCAGGAATGACCTTGATGTTGAATAGTGTGAAAAACTATTAAAAAGATATGAAATATTGCTAGATAACTGTTTTGTTTTTAAATTACACACAATTAAACAATAAGTGAAACCTAGATGAGAGCAAATAATGCAAAACCTTTTATGTTTTTATTCAAAGAATACAAAAACCGACCAGTCACTTGGTCGCAATTGAATGTGATTTCATTCAATTCATTATGTAAACATATACGTAAACATTACAAAGTCTAGCACAAATATATAAATATTGAAGCTTAAGAAGTCACCACATCACATCAACACAGAAAGAGATGAATCAGAAAAAGGAAAACTATAAGAAAGCGGAAAACTAATATCAGTACAGTGATGATGGATCCATATTGCACAAAACCTTCAAATATTGAGTAAGGGTTACTTCAGAACTCCGTAGAACCAAGAAACTTGAACATTTACTTACACCGTATTCGCACTAACGGTCAATTGCTTCATGGTCCAATCCTATGTCTCAGCCTAGTGGCCATGCTAAGCCTTTAGTCCTGACTCTCCCTACCTCCTTGTCTTATATCCTAAGAAGTATAGACAACTGAGTTATAAATGATTAAGTATATAGAATTTCTCAAACTACTCAGTAAATAAAGTAACTATGTGTGACGTAACGTATTTGTTTGCCAAATATAAGTGTTTATGTAGTTGATATTAAGCTACGATGCTTGTACAAGGGCTATTTGACATTGGAATTGACTATCAAAATCAAATGAGGTGAAAATGAGTTCGAAGCTTTGAACACCTATTGGCGTTTAAAGTCAAATACTTCAACCATAACTACACCACTGAGCTACTATTAATCGATGAAGAGTCACAACCTCATTCATAGAGACATCTTTGTTAGTATTTTAGAGACCTAACAAAAACAAAAAAACTAATCTAACACTTAAACAAACACATAGACACAAACAAAGACAAAAAAACATAATAACATACATATTATCACTTTGTATACCACCAATTTTGTTCACTGATGGTGAAATAGGCGTGGGTTCACCAGAAGCAGTCGTAATATTGGTATTAATCACAGTATTTGTTGGATGTTCAATATGGGCACGGTTGAGTACTTTCAAGAATTCCACTGTTTTAGCACGCATACGCATTTGCATATAAGCTTTGGAACATTTAATATGGTAGTGTAAATAGTTTCTTAGTGTTTGTATTAAATCGATGGTAGAATTACGCGCAGATTCAGTGGATAAATGACGCGGAAAAAGCACTAGGATTTAGAAATACATATATATAACAGGAAAAGCAAAACTAATTACTATTATCAATATCAAAAATATAGAGAGGAATCATAAAATGGATGCTTCCCCAATTCATGTATACCAGTAAGTATATTACAACAAGCGGCACCTTAGTAATTTACAAACACAAGCTTTCAAAGTTGAGTCATTCACCGATTTTACGACAGTCTGAAAAGCTGAATAGTATTTGTAGCCCTAAAAGCTCCAATGTATAAACCTATACTTGATTAATGAAAATGATGCAAACGGCCAGGAATGCATCTATCGGTAAATAATATTTTAAAAAATCACATGATAAGTATGCTTTTTCATTTTGAAGACTACATAAAAATATTATTGAAACCATGAAACGATCTAAGTCAGACAATCATCGAAAACTTGGGGTCACTTTACGGCCATTTCGTCCTAGTATACGAGACTTGAGCAGTGCGTATCCAAAACCTCAAAACTGGGAATCGAACCCGGGACTTTCGGTATTGCACAAGAACACCTCACCTCTAGACCACTAAGCAAAAGGATTCAATGACATAAGTCCAAATTCAATCGATTGACGATGTCGCGCGACCGTTTTTCATCGTCTTCATTACCTACCTTCCTTACACCCGATACGGTTGAACTCCACTGGAGTCAGTAGTAAGCAAATGATAACTTTCAGTATGAGGTTTTGGAGAATGTTCAGTTTTACTGAACTCAGAAACCGATACAAAGAGGAGTCCTACACTAGAACGGAACAGTCGTCCAGTACTTCCAAGTTCTCAATGGTTGTATAGCTTAGGTCCGTTCGTGATTTCATTAAAATTCAACAATCTCCACAACTATATACTGACAATATGTACTTTTTAATTTTAAAAACGAACTCAATATTTTTACTGACTGTTGAGAGCCCTCAAAAATTCCTTAAAAGCTGGAAAAAGGCTGAAAACATTTCGTCCAATTAGCGTCTAACAAACATTTCTTAAAGTTCTTGATTGATTAATAGCTGCCTTTGTTACCAAATCTAGAACGTCTCCTGAAGCTTCTAGTCTATCACGCCCGACCAAAACCTAAATCAGCCTTCGGTGTAAAACTTTTTCATAATTCCCAGCTCTTAGTCTTTAGTTCGGATTTCGAATATAAGAGATACTACGGAATTGGCGAATGGTTAATAAGTCAGTATCAAGTCTTTAGGTATTAGGAGTATCATTAACGTAAATACTGTTTATATGATGCTTCATTTTTTTGTAAAACATGAGCTACTAAATGTTCATTCTAGGGTGTACACACCTTCATAGTACTAGTGATTTTTGCGGTAGACTATCTGTAACTCATAGGTATCCATATCAAGGTTGAACCAGATAGTTTCAAATAAATTGATCATTGGGTATGAAGTTATTGATAAATATATTTCTGTTATATCACAATGAGTAGAAAAATTATATATCTGACGTTTTGCGACTTAATGTAAACCACTTCATCAGAGTAAATAAATAACCAACATTTAGAGAACTATACTGGGAAGAAAAAGGTGTGTCAAGTGCTTCCAGGTTTTCAATAGTGGTGTCTAACTTAGGTCAGTTCGTGATTTCATTTGGGATTCAATAATCGTCACAACCCCATATTGAAAATACAATTCTCATGCATATATACATATATAAATGTGTATTGAAAGACAGAAAATGTACTATTCACTAGTTTTCAACCAGAATCAATTTCGATTTCTAAAAAAATAGTTGTACCTAATGAAATGATAATAATATTTATAGTGAATATTACCTTGAAAAAAATACTTACACACTATGAATTGTTACTAAATTATTGATTTGTAATTAATTCATTTACTAATTATGCACACATAAACAAGATAATACACGTTCAGTATGTACAAATTGTAAAAGGTATAGTTTGATGGTGAACTACTACTACTACTAATTATTATTATTATTATTATTACTATTACTACCATCATCATCATCATCATAAAATTTCATTCAGTTAGTTATAAGAAACGTAGAACCTGATACATAATTACACTGGTTCAAGTTTACGCACCATATTAGCACACAAAGAGATAAAATCATTTCAAGACAAATGGATGTAATAGAAGTAGGAACAGTATTATTAATAGTAGAAAATATTAGGTATAAACAGTTTGACTCGAGATGAAACAATGAATTTTAGGAATAAAAGTTGTAGGGTTGTTTTTAAACTTATGATCAAAGAGAAGAGTGAATGTATCATTGAACTGTTGTGAATGAGTCTGAACTATGTCACTTAACCTCTTTAACTATTGGTTACTATAATCCCGAAGACACTAACCAGGTACTTTGCAACTAATAACATGCCTTAGTCCAACAGCCAATAATATCGTGAACCGATAACATGTCTCGGTTTGCTAGCCCTAAGCTTTTCTCACAGCCTACTCCTTCCTATACCAGTCAACATAGGATAATAATTTATAAAACAGAATTACAACTAGACTATGAACGTAGAAGACAAATAACCTAACCGACTTACCAAAAGTAATGTACGCAACTGAGTCACTGATAACTGCATCAGTTCCCTGTAATTCTTTTGGTGGAACGCGATGAGAATACAATACTTGAGGTGCTCGATCAAGACGTCTTCTTACCTCAGTGAACTCCTGTGATGTACATATTTGAATATAAAAATCCAAACAGTTTAAAAAGCATCCCAATACATAATTCATAAACTGAAGTCAAAAAAGGTCACCTAAGTTTAATTATAAATAGATTGTTACTAGAAATCACCGCCATTTTAATGTTATGTATTGAACCTATTGTATTTCTGGTCAGTAGCTTCAGAAATGGGTCACGATACTAGGTACAGATGTATGATTGGTCAGAATTTGGAAGACTATCCTCATTTATTTGTCCTTAAAGACATAATTAGGTAATTAAAATAACACATCGTGTCACTAAATAAAAATAAAGAGAATTCGCAAAGAAAAATTTTTTTCGACGAAAACGATATGTCCAACCTATTATCCTTCCTTCGCCCCAATTCCCTTCTGTAGTATATCTTAGTTGCCTTTTAAAAAATGAGTGTTTTGTAATTTTAAACCGTAATTAGTTATTATTATCCTTTTCTGTCTTCCTATAGGCATATATTTAGGCATGCCTGTTATCGCTTGTGGAAGAGTATAGGTCTCCCACCATCACTCTCCATTGAACTATGTTCTGGGCAATTCTTTTCAGATGCTATTCATTTTTTGATGTCTGCTTCCAATTTTCGATGCAGTGTGTTCCTTGGTCTTCCTCTTTTCCTTTTCCTTCAGGATTCCAAGTTAGCGCTTGCCTCATGAGGCAGTTTGGTGATTTCTGTAATGTATATCCTATCTACCTCCAGCGTCTTAATTTCCTCTTCAGATGAAAACCGGTTTTTTCTACCCCAGAGTAGGCTGTTGCTGATGGTTCGGTTATAATTAATCTTTACCTTTCTCTGAATTCTCAGGTTGGTATAAATTACCTCATACTTTTGATTGTCCAGTCTCATGTCACTTTTAAACTACGGTTTTTATGCTTCACTTCTCAATGTAGTTGAGATAGTATTTACCTTCGTACACTAACCTAGTAAATTCCCTTATTCCATAAGTCTAGAACAATACTTACCAACTACATTCCATCTACCAAATACTATTACCACTACTTATAACCAATATTACTAAGAATAAATTTGTTGATGAAATTTTATTTTTAAAAGCTAATACTCCCCAACATTTTAGTACAAAGTGAAACTAATGAACTGAGAAGAAAAAAATAAATACCAAACAGATTTACACATACTTGCATAAAAACTTTTCCAATTAACAAATCGTCTGGATCTTTAAATGTTGTACTAAAGATAACTGTAACTCGATCAGCTAGTGCTTGTACATACCTATTGGGAAAAAGATGAACAATAAATAAATAAAACATGTAACTTTAGTGCATATAACTGTGTTACCTGGAAAAATAGGGGTGTCTGGGTTAGTGAATGAAAAGACTAGGATTATAACCAGTACGTTACATGTTTAAACGGTGAGATTCACCCTCTCTTTTACTTTGGAAAGCTGTCCAGTATCACTAGCCCTCATACGTCCAAGCACAAGTATAACAACCTACACAAGAGTACGGAGTGTCAGGTCAACGAATTTAAGCTAAACACAATTATAACTAAATTTTTTGCTGCAAAACAATAAAAGGCTTTGATTATCATAAGCAATTAAGAAAAACACTAGACATATTACCCACTCCCTTAGTTCACAAAAACAAACACATTCAACAGAATAACTTACATTGTCTCATCGTCTCTATAATGTATCACCGCCCTCTTAGAACCCGAATCCACGTTAGATTTAATTTGATATTCGAAAAACTTCTCAAAAACAGCTGCCATACAATTTCTTTTTAAAAGACCACATTTATGAGCTAACTGATTATGATCTGGAGGTAGTTTTTCCAAATCTATGCATAAGGTTACACTCTGATTGGGCTCTGCTGAAGAGAGAAAATCACCATACTCACGAGCCAATACCTTGAGAAAAAACGGTTAAGATTGAAACAAAGCATACCATTACTTGTTATAAGACCGATAAATGCTATGTTGAAAATATATAACCTACAAAGGGCTATAATAAATGATGACGATGACGACAGAGGTCTATAAAATGACTAGAAAATACCTCTTATGTATTAAGAATCACAAGTGTATTTGGTGCCTCCTTGTACCAATATCTATGTGTTAAAATAATAATAATAATAATAATAATAATAATAATAATAATAATAATAATAATAATAATAATAATAATAATAATAATAATAATAATAATAAAAGAAACAGAGAGGTGTAAACAGTGATCTGAAATGCTGTGTGTCAGTCGGTCAGTAACAACGTAGAACTTCGTACGTACGTACATCAGTTCGAGTTGCCACACCACATTAGCACAGAGATGCAGTTGTCGATTCAAATCCCGTAGTGGTAGAGGTAGTAACAGTATAAGCAGTAATCGGAAACATTAGGGTTTGAAGATGTTATTCAAGAAGTATAATCCAGTGAAATAAATTTGAAAAGAAACAAGGAAAATTCAAGAGGACATAAAGAGTGGATGTACCTGCGCCATTGCAAACGATTTTCAGCCATGTCATTCATGATCTCTAACCATCGGTTGCTATCATCTTGCGGTCCCCAACCAGGTAGTCTACACCTACTAACATGACTCAGTTCACTTGTCAGTGACTTCATGGACTTGTTCCATGTTTTGGTCTGGCCGCCTCTAGCTTTCTTCCAACCTACTCCTATACCACTGAACATAGCATGTCGAGGCAGTCAGTTTTTAGGCATACGTAACACGTGTCCCAGCCATCTCAACTGATCAAGTTTCACTACGTCATCAATCGATTTGCCATCCTTACCTAGTACCCGTTTCCTAACAACTGTGTTACTTACTCGATAGTCCCAGGATATACGAGCAATATTTCGAAGAAACCTATGATCAAATACTAGTAACCTACGGATATCCTCTACTCTTACTGGCCATGTTTCACTGCCATAAAGTAGAACGGAACGAACTGCCGCGCAGTAAACCCGTCCTTTGGTTGATAGACGGATATCTCGCCTACGCCATAAATGACGCAAGTTGGTAAAGGCTAGTCGAGTCTTCTGTATCCGTGCTGAGATTTCGTCACACACCAGATCACAAGGGCTGATGAGACTTCCAAAATAAGTGAAGCGATCGACACGCTCAATTACTTCACTCCCTATCATTAGTTCGGGTGTCAATGCGACCCAATCCTGAAGCAACATTTTACATTTCGAGGGGGAGAATCGCATCCCGAACATGCTTGCATTGTCGCTTATTGTGGTCAGAAGACTCTGCATTTTGTCAGCGTCTTCACCAAATAAAACTATATCATCAGCATATTCTAAGTCAACAAGTGAACCCCCTGGAAATTTAGACGAGGAAAGTGTTATCTTTAAAAGTACGTCGAAGACAAAGTTGAACAAGAATGGAGAGAGTGGGCAGCCCTGACGAACACCACTTGAGGTAATCAATTCTGATGACAGTTCGCCATAAGCTGGACCGAAGCTGCTACGTTGACGCGGTGGTCAGGCTTGCCTATCGTGATGACCCAACCGAGCTATATTGACTGGAACATATGTTCCTGTAGGTTCTACCATGCCAGGCAGGTCGATTAGAGAACGGTAAGACTAAAAGCAGCAACTCAAGGTCTGAGGGCGAAGTCGTACTGCTGACTGTAGAGAGGTGTGACAGCAGTAAGGTGTTTCCCTCAGACAACCAGCATCTACAGCGATGCTGCCTTCCCACAAGGAGGGGTGGGGTTAGAAAAGGTCGACCCTAAAAATGTCACTCCTCACTTTACCTCACGGATTTCCGTATCCGGCGGTAAGGCCCATTGAAGAACGGAGCTAACACATTAAAAACCTTCCACGAAAAGGCCGTGCGCGACCGGCCTCAAGCAGTTGTCCCTTGGGCTCTGCGGTCACGCTCCCAGGTCTTTAAGACTAACAATAATCCAATTTCCTTTTCGGGTTCCTCAATAAATACCCTTGCACGGCGTGGGCAGCCGGGAAGTGACACCAGCCCTCATACCCGTAACGGCACACGAGACCAAGTTGGTCACATTCAAATCCTTCCTACACCTCCTAATACCTCTCTTATCTCCATGACTAACCCTCCTCACGTCTCTTTATCACCTCGCACCGCTAGGGCAAATGATTCGAGTACGTGGAACGCTATTCCTGGTCTCCTGAAACCACGCTCTAAACTACACGTAGGAGCTTTTAACGTCCGAACGCTGTGCCAAATAGGACAGCAGGCTTCCTTAGCTAAGACTTTAGAATCTCGCGCCATCGATGTGTGCTGCGTCTCCGAAACGCGCATACAGGATCCGAGTAGCGTCATTCACTTGACCTCATCATGCCAAAATAAAGAACCAACTCGATTCACGCTTCGTGTATCTGGAAGCCCTGATTCTGCTTCCCGTGGCCTCGCCGGCGTAGGTATAGCATTGAGTCCTAGGACAGAACTAGCTCTCTTAAAGTGGATCCCAGTAGACAGTCGTTTGTGCGCTGTCCGACTAAACGGGACAATAAGGATCTGAAAAGATAGCAACACTCGTCGTTGCCTCTTCGTCGTCTCAGCCTATTCTCCCACTGACTGCAGTGCAGATGATGTAAAAGATGAGTTTTACAGAAAGCTCTCTGACCTTCTCCGAAAAGCTAGGCGCTCGGATGTAGTAATAATGGCCGGTGACTTTAATGCTCAAGTAGGTAAACTAAGCGATAGAGAAAGACACCTAGGTGGATCTTATAGCATCGTGGCTCAAAGAACAGATAATGGCGACCGTCTGTTGCAAATATGCTCAGATAACCACTTCTTTCTTGCAAATACTAACTTTAGGCATAAGGAAAAACATCTTTTAACATGTAGACCCCCTAATTCGTCCCAACGTTGGACCCAAATAGATCACATCGCTATCAGCCACCGATGGAGGGGCTCGATAGAAGACTATCGTTCATTCTGGAGCACATGCTTAGATTCAGATCATGCTCTAGTACGAGTGCGTATCTGTCTGCGTCTTACTGCAAGTAAACCTCTTAGGGTCCTACTTAATGATAGTCAAGCTAAGAGTATATTTCAGGAAAAACTAGGAAAACAGTTAGGCAGCCATGTATGTGATGCCCTCCCCGAGGCAGCATGGAATGATATCCGAAAAGCTGTGGAAACAGCAGTGATATCTGCTAGTAAGGTAAACCAGAAGGTTAGGGAGCAACACTGGATCTCAGCAGCATCTATCACACCGATAGATGCTCAGAAACTCATTCCACCTGGCTCTGAACATAATGAGGAGCGGAGTCAGCTTAAGCGCAAGCTGACAAGAAGTCTACGCAATGACCGTGAACAGTGGTGGGTAGCGAAAGCAAGAGATGGAAAAGGCAGCGGCAATAGGTAATAGCAGACAATTGTTCAGACTTGTTAAAGAAACCGGTATTAGGAAACCGACTGTTAGCGAAACAATCTCAGAGAAAGATGGACATATTATACATTCTCAATCCAGATTGGATCGATGGGCAGAACATTTTAGGGATCAGTTCAACTGGCCTTCAGCCACACTTCGGTTTCCCACGATCTCCAGTCAACCTGAATGGCAAGTTAGTGTAGGTCCTCCGACTATTTACGAAGTTGAAAATGCCATAGGAAATCTGAAGTGAGGAAGAACAGCAGGCCCTGACAGGTTTACTCCTGAGATTTTTAAGGATGGTGGTTCAGTATTAGCAGTGAGATTAACTGAGGTCTTAGGTAGAATTTGGGAACTGGACGTAATCCCATCTGACTGGTCTCAATCACCGATTGCGCCAGTCTATAAGAAGGGACAAAAGTCCTCTTGTGACAATCACAGAGGAATCAGTTTGACAAATATAGTGCTGTGTTAAGGTCACCGTTTTTGATTTTTCAAAGGAAACGAGAAAGAACAGGGTGAAAGGTGAACCAAACAAATTTCATACAATTGAAAATTTGTTCCTGAAGACTCCATGACACTTCAGCTTAAAATGCGCACGTTTCAATCTACCGAAGGGTTTCTTAATGCCACTGCCCCCAAATGCCCTGGTACGGCCGAGAGTGGGGAGAGTCCGCTGTCCCTCTCGAAATGCTCTCACATGGCCACGCGTATATAGCCTCTGCCAGGGAAGTCCTACTCACTGCCTTCTCGTGGCGGGGGTGTTGTTTACAAAAATGAGAGGACGAAAAGTGAATGTCCGGCGATTTAACCGGATTCCAAACCAATGGTGCACATGGGCTACAGTATCCTGCGGGAACAAAAGGCGTATGAACCAATTGTTGGTCACCGGCTTCCATGGGACTGCATCTCCTTACGATGCTCCACTGCCTTGTGGATCAGACCTTCAGGTCAAAGGCTCGGGGAATGGCCCCTTAAGAAAACCACCTGCTTCGGTTTGGGCACCCGGGCAGTATCACAGCCCTCACACATATCGAATGAGATTTGTGTGGCGCATATGTATTTGGTGCCTTCTTGTACCAATATCTATGTGTTAAAATAATAATTCTTTATGCCACTACTCTGTAGTCTTAGTTTTAAGCGTAAAATGTTCAGACCACCACGTTGCCTAAGAAAATTCATGACTTTCAAACAACCGGTAAACTGTAGCTAGACAAAAAGGCAATTGACGATTTAAAGTCTGCCTTCTTGCAACCAATATGACAAAGTTGAAGGTGACATATCACTAACTAATCCTACTATTAAGGTAAGGTACGCGTGACGTTCTTACAGAAAGTGTCAGATAAATTATGTAACCTCCTTGATAAGCTATTATTAAAATCTTAAAGAAATTCCAGATAGATATTATCGGTGGAAACTGATTTCAAAGGGATATCCAGCATAACTTCGTATCACTAAACGACAACAAGACCCTTCATCCGACATGACAAAAAATAGACTTCTATTACCGGAATAAGTGGTAAACATATGAAATCAAAGGCAGAAAAATGTATCGCAAAAGTCGATCTCTTGACGAACATTAACAAATCAAAAATGCAAAAAAAATCAGTCATTTTGAACTTATAAACATATAATGCATAGTTTTCAAGTGGGTTACTTACTTCATTTACTCCATGTTCGTTCAATTCATGGAAGAATTTAATGAATATACTGACAAGTATCTTTTTCTTATCATTATTTGGGTTACTTATGGTGTAAACAATACTATCGAAGTCCGCAACGGTGTAATCAATCTTATCATATCTGGATCTAAACGTGTAAAAGCTTTAAGTTAACTTTGGTTTTACTCCTCCTTTGCTTGTTCAAATCTGGTGACTAGAATTTCTTCTACAGCTCGGTTACAAACTTCCAAAATGATCATCGGTAGCAATTGCTATAAAAATCCCGCTGAGTTTTTACGTAAAATAATTTAAATAATTCCAATTGTACTTGGGTGGAACAAAAGATAGACTGTTGTTTTTTCCGTACTAATACATATCTCAAACCAATTTTGCTCCCTGAATATCTAATATTTTTATATGAACTAGTAAAGTAATGAGTATCTTTGCCTTCTAGCTTATATGCTTCAAATGTTGTCTCAGAGCTAATTTTTCTATATATGATTCAAGTTCAGAAGAAGAGATATCCGAATCCTTTCGACAGTTCCTCAGGAGAATAAATCGTCAGACTAATGATATAGTAGCTTATCCTAGGAACCTAGAATGAGAACTCTGTACTACTAGTCCTCAGAATGCGTCATTTTGTGTTCAGAATAAGCTGAAAATATCCCTCTCTAGCCTCCATACAACCTCAAGATCTTCTGCTGTGAGTGTGACAGAGGTGCGGATTTCATGACTTTTTTATTATCTCATTTCTTGGCGTTAGTATGAGGCGAAAGTAGAAACGTTTCACTTATTTCACATTCGTCGATATTTTTGAGTCTAGCCTGAAGGTAAGTCCCCCACTTTACAGTCCGTTATCATCAAATAAGTCCCATGCCAGTTTGCACTAACATCTTCGTGTTACGTCATCGGACGATATACTCAAGCGACACTTCAAACTGGAACTTAGAAACTATCCGTTAGAAAAGGCAAGGAAGAATACAGTCTGAGACGTCTCAGTCAGATCCCAATAGGAACCGTAGTATCGGTTATTATGTTAGACCCACATACCTTATTCTGGCTTTCGGACAGGCCAATCTACTCATTCTACTTGAGTCATATTGTGATCCTGTTCATTATTCGCTTTTCAATCTTGAATGTTTTTATATAAACGTATGGGTGTGCACTTATCCCATTCACCACATATCTTGAACCTATTTTTGTGCAACTATATACATTGATTGACGCTTAGTTTAATGAGAGTTGGCAACCCGCCATCTCCACTGCGCGTCGTTTTGCTTCGCTCTACTCCATCTGCTTCACATACAATATATATATTGAAAATTCCATTCTCGTTATTTGACTTATTTGACTCCGTTATTACTACTACTTAATACTTACGCCTTTTGCTCCTGATGGAGCATAGGCCGTCGACCAGCATTCTCCAACCCACTCTGTCCTGGGCCTTCATTTCTAGTTCCACCCAATTCTTGTTCATTTTTCTCATGCCTATTTCCATTTCTCGGCAAAATGTGTTCTTTCATCTTCCGCTCCTCCTTTGGCCTTGAGGATTCCATGTGAGGGCTTGCCTTGTGATGAAGTTCCGTGCTTTCCTCAATGTGTGTCCTATCCATTTCCAGCACTTCTTCCTGATTTCTTCCTCCGCTGGGATCTGGTTTGTTTTTCCCACAGTTGGTTATTGCTAATAGTATCCGGCCAACGGATCCGAAGTATTTTGCGTAGACAACTGTTAATAAATACTTGTATCTTCTGGATGATGGCTTTCGTAGTTCTCCAGGTTTCCGCCCCATACAGTAGAACTGTCTTGACATTTGTATTGAAAATCCTGACCTTGGTGTTGGTTGACAGACAGTTGTTTTGAGTTGCAGATGTTCTTCAGTTGTAAATATGTTGCTCTCGCTATGTCGATTGAATTATGTCCTCTTATATTTTAAGGACACCTAGACCAAACACTCTGACTGACGTTAATACTCATCGGACTCTCCGTGACTCTTCTAGGCCTGAACTCCACTTTGTTCGTATCCATGATGAATTTTCGTGAACTGTTTTTAAAGGTTACGGAACTTGTTGGTTAGAATATTGTGAGAACTGACTAAGTTTCTCGAATGAACATCAGGTTTTTTACTGGGGTTCCCTTTCATTGACTTATTACGGTGATATCTCACACAGACATTTCCAAACGAGTTCGATAAATTGTCTTGTTGTGACACATCTAACTCGTGAGAAATACGGATACCAATTAACCATTTATATTTACTCAGATTCAACTGCTGGATAATAAATAAACCTTCAACAAAATTTTATCAGTGTAATACAAAATGTATAGTGAATTATGATAATTAGTGCGAACTAAGAATTCCATAAATAATGCAATTGGATCAAGAAGTACTAGTTAAGCACAAACGAACGTACTGTATTTATAATTCGAAATCAAGCATTCAACAAGTACAAAGGAATCATTAATTCATTCAAACACCACATGTGCCACAGCTTAAATTAGAGTCTTAGTGTCTGTAATCGATTGTACGTCTTCTTCTTAAGTTCGTCCTGTGTTTGTCCGACAGTGTATTGGATAAAGACTCTATATTATCGGGAATGTACTCATAAGTATTGGAATTAACAACCGAAATCGAAACAGACTCATTTGATTCCTGGGATCGTGTACAATCACCATGTCGGTTGAGTACTGAAACTACTGCGACCCAGAATTTGAACCATAGATTTTCAGAGTATCCTCCCTCATGAAATAATGTTGGATCTTCATATTCCCAAGTGATGAATGATGTGGCTTCGTTTAAAACATATTTCTCACATTGACTAGGGTTTACATTAGAAGTGACTTTATGAAAAAGATAAACAACAGTTGATATGAAATCATCCGAATCGTAATCAAAACCGAGCTCATTTAGTACGTGTGCTTCGCATTGAACAAATTTCCCACAAGAAACAAATGCATTATGAGGACAAATAATATTTGATATGACACCAAGATTTGATTCTTCTGAAATAGTTCCCTCGAATTTATTAAGAATGCCATTGCAAAGTAACGGATCATTAGAAAAGTCAGCATCTACCAAAACTACATCAGGTTTTCGATCATAATTATGTTCACTCAACATACATTCTTCAAATTTGCAAGGAATTTCATCAGAAATAGGTGAATCATTAGGAAAAGCCATATCTGGTACAATAACTTGAGAATTCTGATAAGTTGATTGGTTGGAAATTGTTGTCTCGCAAGGATTCTGAGTTTCATTTAACTCTGAACTGTTATTTGACTCTACACTGTCTTTTGCGATCGTTGATGAAAACAAATGATCATTATAAATACTTGACTTAATAGAATCAGAATTACAAGACTTAATATTCGTTGCAGCAAGATGAACAGTAGTATTACAAACTGACTGAATATGTCCAATATCACCACATTTAAAGAACTTAGAATTACGAAATTTACATGAATTAAAAGAGTGGAACCTGCCACAGGACAAACATTGGCCAAAATTGTGCTCATCTTCGTGAACAACATCTCAACTCCTCAATAAATTATTTGCATAACCTTGAGTATGAACTGGGTTGGGATGACGTAATGCAGTGGAATTTTTTATATCCTCATGCGTCATCTTACGGAATTTTCATCCTTTACTGCAATCAAAATTTGCATACCTTACATAGTCTATTAGTAGTTCCTTGAGAGTTGTATAAGAAAGCGAGATAGGCTTTTCCGGTAAAGCCAGAGTTTTAATAAGCTATATGCTTCTTTTCCGATGAATGTGAGGAAATGTGTTACACTATTAACATCCTCATCATCTTTCTTGGTTATAGCCCGAATTTCGAACCTTTCTAAGTAATCCTCAAATGCATCAAGATCTGAATGTATATCCAACAATTCCATCACAGGCTCCATCGCGACGCCAATATGATGATTAGGAGTATTTGAATTATAGTATGAACTAAGAATCCCAGAAATAACGTATTCGGATCAATAAGTACTAGATAAGAACAGACGAACGTACTGTATTTATAATTCGAAATCAAGCATTCAACAAGTACAAATGAATCATTAGTTCATTCAAACACCACATTCCAATTTCCAGTGCAGTGTGTTCTTTGGTCTTTCTCATTTTCGTTTCCATTCAGGATTCCAAATTAGTACTTGCCTCGTGATACAGTTTCATGATTCCAGCAATGTATGTCCTATAAACTTCCAACATCTTTCCCTAATTTCATCTTTAGCTGGAAGCTGGTTCGTTCTCTGTTGCTGATGGCACTCGGGCAAGGGACATTAAGTATCTTGCGTAGAAGATTATTTATATACACTCGTACCTTTTTGATGATGGCTGTAGTAATTCCCCAAGTTTCAGCTCAGTGCAATCAAACGGTTTTGACGTTTGTATTGGAGATTCTGACTTTGGTGTTGGCTGACAGTTGGTTTGAACTTCAGATGTCTTTATATTGTAGGAATGCGGCCCTTGTTCTGCCAGTCCTTGAATTCACATATCCATGAGATCCTCCTTGTTCATCGATGGTGCATCACAGGTATGTGAAAGATTCCACCTCTTCCAGAGCCTTTCAATCAATTGTGGTTGTGTTGGTGTTCTCCATGTTTTATTTAAGTGTTATATCCCGATAAGAATAATGAATGGTAACTTTTGGGATCCATTTATGGACCAATACTATGAGTATATTTTTATCGTATAATTGTTATGCAACTAAACTGTTCATATTCATGTCGCTCTTATTATAACATTTAATTTGACCCATAGACTATTATTATACGATTTACCATTCTTGAGTTATGGCCTGTTTATTAATTATTATTATTATTATTATTATTATTATTATTATTATTATTATTATTATTATTATTATTATAAGCTTTATTCAATATTGTATTTTCGGTATAATATAGAATTCTCAGCACAAAGTATTTCAACAAGTTTCCGTTTCTTTCTTCTGGGTCGATCCTGACGATAAATATTGAGTGATAGCCAGTTAGATGTTAACAGTCCAGTAAATAAACATCTGAATAATGTATATTCTTTTCTCTGCATATTGCCAGCGACCACATTATCTCTTATTGAGCTTTTAGTAACTTTGACAACGAAAGGTTGTAAACTTTTCAGAAATGCACAAGGATGGGTTATGCGATTAATATACATAATGATATATTAAAACAAACAAAAATAGATAACTTGTTGAAATATTTAGATGACAGGAACAGGTAGCCCAGATGCTCAAGCAGGCCGCCCAATATAATTACTATCTCCCTCATTCACAGCCACATCTGGCTAATT